TCTTGGGCACGCATGCACACATTCCTGGCGTGAGTTCAAGTCACTGGGTCCAGGACCCGAACTGCGGTCGACTACATGGGAATCCAGTGACACAGCCATTACACTAACTGCTGGTTCCTCCTACTGACTTTTTAGATGATCAGGATCCCAACTGTTTTTCTGAATTTGTGACAACCTGCCTCAAACACACAACAGTCACATTTAGAAGAACATGTCATAATTTTTTAAAAGAGATTTTTGCTATAGGACGTGTGAACTTGCTAGAGAGATAGAGAGACAGAAAGCAAGAAACCACCCCCAGGGGTGATGGCCACAATTTAATGGAAATTAAGGTTCACTCCAAAGAAAAGATTTATTTTCCAGATCTTTGTTTTTGGGAGCATTCCTCAGTGGAGTTCCTTCAGATTTCCCTTGTTAATGGCTAGACTTCGCTTCAACCCCACTTTCCTGCTAAAACACTTAATTAAACCTGGTTTGGAGTGCTCTGTTGCAAGTAGGAGGGATGATTACTTTTGTCTGCCTTTCAAAGACACTCTAGGGTTCCCTCATTTTGAAAACTAAAAATATTCCCGTTTCTCTTCCAGAAGAATAGAAATGGGCGCATTCCCAAGAACACCCCCTTTATTACTCTGCAAATTCGCACTGCCAGGAGGCAGGGAAGACAATAGACATAGTGCAGTTGCAAGGATAGGAAGGGATGGGGCAGAGCAGAGCCAGGCCGGGTACCAGCTCCACGTTCACTGGCTCTTGCCCGTTTCTGACTCTCCTTCCCCACTAGGGAAGTACGCGTGCGTACTTCTGCAGCTCAGATGAATTTTCATTTACCCAGAGAAATAGGTCTGTGGAGGAATGTCTCTTTCACTCTATTTGAGACTCAGCAGAGCTTTCTGTTAACTATGAAAGGAGTCGCTTGTGACCAGGAACACACAGTGTAAAGAAGTAGTTCTCAAATTGCATCATGAGTAAGAATCCCCTGCAGAGCTCGTAAACACACAGATACCCCGGGTCAGATCCCCAGAGTGTTCCATTCAGTAGGTCAAGGATGCCCATGACTCTGTTTCTAACATGCTTCCAGGAGATGCTGCTGGGGCTCTGCTGGTCAGCCCACCACACTTTGAGTAGCATTGGTAGAAAGCACTTCTAGGCCCTTTTTCCAGGTTCAAAAATTGATTTCCTGAGAGTTTTCTTCCTCTGGTCAAGCTCTCCTTCTGGCTCTTTGGCTGCTGCTTGCTTTAGAATCCCAAACAATGGTACAACAAAGAAGTTCTGGCTTTTTCATTTCACACTTTATCAGAATAGGCCTCAATTTATTCAGATGCTGTTTCCTAGTCCAAGCATCCGCAAGGGGCGCCATTTGCATTGTATTTTCTGGGCAGGGAGTTCCCTGGAATAGTGCAACTCTGGAATAGGGCAAGTCTGTAGCTGTGTTGCTGGAGAGAGTGGATAAACTACTCCAGTGAAATAGCAGTTGCTGTGCCCAGCAGAGTGTGTTGAACGAGGATGACTCTGATACCATTCGTCCTCACGTTTGCAAAATGTTCATACACCCATAACTTTAATTCCCAAAACAACCCTTGTTGAACGAGGATGACTCTGATACCATTCGTCCTCACGTTTGCAAAATGTTCATACACACATAACTTTAATTCCCAAAACAACCCTGTGAGATGGGTACAGAAGACGTGATTATCTTTGCCAGAGAAGGAAGCTAGAACAAAAAAATTTAAGTGACTGCCCCCAGGTCACACAGCCAGTTCATGTCATGACACAGACTAGAATGTTCAGGTCCTCCCTAAATATATGAGGCTATGAGAAAATGAAAGTATTTTAGAAACTTTATTTATTTATTTTTAGAGAGATTTTTGGTATAGAGCATGTGCAGTCACCAGAGAGACAGAGAGACAGAAAGCGAGAAATCATCCCCCAGGGGAGCTGGCCATGCTGCAATCCCTTCTCCTCCATTCTTCTCTCAGGATTTTGGGCACACACGCACACACACCTGGTGTGAGTTTTAAGCTGCCAGGTCCAGGACTTGATTGGCTATGTGGGAGTCCAGTGATGTAACCATTACACCATCTTCTGGTCCTATATTTTAAAAACTTGAATGAATTCATTTTGGTGTTTGGTATCTACCAACCATAATTGGGCTACATGTAGATATGAAATGATCATTCCAGAAAGAGACAGTACATTATAGTTTGCTTTGACACGTGAATTGTGGATTCCAAAAAAAGGAAATAAGTTCACAGATCTTGTAGTACTATTGCCCATTCCAGAGGAAAACACTTATGTAAGGCTATTTAGAACATTGCAGTTCTGTGGCCTTTTCCAAAATGGTTTGAATGTATTTTAGAAATTTGAGATTTCATGTGATTAAAGTCAGGTAAAAATGTTGCAATTGCTCCAAAAAAATTACATCTACTTAATATTTGCTGTTTAGTATCAAGTTACCGACATGATAATAATCATCTTGAAGATTACTAAGAAAAATAAATCCATCCATCACTGTCCTATTTTGTTTCCTTGAAGTGGCTCCTTGTGTTCAGAACGGAGCAAAATACATCAACATTTTATGTGTCCTACCTTTGGATTTAGCCGATTGCTTGCTATAAAAGGATTTGAGTCAAAGTGTTTGCCATTCACAACCAAAGGGTCTATAGGGACCTTATGGATAAGCTCTTTGTTCAAGTACATTCACACAAAATCATGTTCAAAGTTGTGACATTATATTCTTTTCCTGCTTGTGTCTATCAGGTGTCAGTGATGGAGTCTTCCAAGTAGCTCAGAGTTTAGAGAGGAGGGAGTGAAATAGGAAGCTGAAGGCACCTAAACATTCTTTGAACAACACTAAAGACAAAGCTTGGTGGTTCTTCCCATTAATTAAAAAAATTGGGTAACATATGCATATGACAAAACATTCGAACGCACCAAGAGAGGACAGGTTGAGAATTCCTAATTAAAAATAAGAAATCCAAAATGCTCCAAAATCTAAAATCTTTTGAGTGCCAACACAATGCCGTAAGTAGGAAATCCTACATTTAACTTCATGGGAAGGGTCATAGCAGTTCAAAATTAATGTATCAATTACCTTCAGACTATGTGTGTACAGTGCATAGGAAACAAAAATTTCATATATATGCAAAAATGACAAAATCCAAAATACTTCTGATCCAAAACCTTTGGATAAGGAATAGAATACTCAATTCGGATATAAGGAAGAGTGATTCTCCTTCTCATCACAGTTTCTGTCTCTCAGTCTCAGTTCTTGAAGAAACCATTGTTATTGGATTCCTGAACAGCTGTTAGAGAACATCTATGTGCATTCGGGCACTGAGTTCACGACCTCTCATATACCACCAGAGAGGCAAAAAGGAAAATCATTGAAAATCATTGTATTCTTACTGACTATTTTTTCCCTTTTTTTTTGGAGAGGTTTTTGCTATAGGGCGTGTGCGTTCGCCAGAAAGAGAGAGAGAGACAGAGAGACAGAGAGCGAGAAATCACCCCCCGAGAGGGATGGCCATGCCACAATCCCTTCTCCTTCATTCTCCTCTTGGGATCTTGGGCACGCATGCACACATTCCTGGCGTGAGTTCAAGTCACTGGGTCCAGGACCCGAACTGCGGTCGACTACATGGGAATCCAGTGACACAGCCATTACACTAACTGCTGGTTCCTCCTACTGACTTTTTAGATGATCAGGATCCCAACTGTTTTTCTGAATTTGTGACAACCTGCCTCAAACACACAACAGTCACATTTAGAAGAACATGTCATAATTTTTTAAAAGAGATTTTTGCTATAGGACGTGTGCACTTGCTAGAGAGATAGAGAGACAGAAAGCAAGAAACCACCCCCAGGGGGGATGGCCATGCCACAATCCTTTCTCCTCCATTCTCCTCTTGGGATTTTGGGCATGCACACATACGTGCCCAGCGTGAGTTTCAAGCTGCCAAGTCTGGGACCTGAACCGTGATGGGCTATGTGGGAGTTCAGAGCCTTAATCACTGTACCACCTGTTGGCCCCTAGTATATCGTAATTTAAAAAACGAAGTGATTTTGTTATGAGGATTTTGAGGGATTTAGATATCCCTACTTAAAGATATTTGAAAATGTATTCAGATATAGGGAAGTGGGGAAGAAGGAAGGTGATATGGTGGAATATGGTAAATAATTTACTTAATAAAATCTTCTGAACTTTGTCTAGTCTAAGAGTTTCATTGAACTTCCTTTGACGATAGCCAGGTCTACTTTTAGGCAACACCACCAAATAGACAAAGTTAGGATCATTACTTGATAATCAGAGGAAGTATAAATCTAGCTCCAGAATTATTAGCTTTCTTGGGCAATTTATGTATCCTTTCAGAGTGTCAGTGTCCGTATAATGAGGATAACAGTACATGTCTCAGATTTGCAGTGTGGGTGAGCACACAGCAAATGTAGCTGTTACTATTCTTCTTTCAGTGTTTAGGGAATGGGTGAGGCATATTAAGTGTATTTGTATAATCATTTGGCTTGTCAATTGTGTAAGAAATTATTAGTATGAAGTTGTTTTAAAATTATAGAAGGGCTAACTGAAGGCAAAGTATTTTTTTATTTATCTGGGTTCTAATAAACTTGCAATATTTTCTGATGTGATATTCTCATTTTAAATCATTATACTTTTTTCTGAAAAAAGGGTCATATTTAGTTTTTGTTTTTTCCTTATTCATTTAGTATAGCTGATGACATTCTCAGTTCTGGATAAGCTTAATAAAGATAGGATATTCCAAACCATAGCATACAGAGCCCCTATTAGTGGGGAGATAATGTTTAGAGAAGCCCCTTTACTTTCCTGAAGGTCCAGAGGTATTCAGATATGTCAGAAAGTTCCAGCCAATGTAAGATTCCCATGTGAAAGACTTAGGCAACATTGTTCTTCTTTACTCTGAAGATTAATGCAACTGCCTATTGCTGCTACTGTAACTTTAATTACTAACATGTGCACATTTTTTTTCCAGGCCTCTAACCCTGGGCAATTTGAAAATGACAGTGATGCATTATGGCAGCGAGGACAAGTTCCAGAATCTGTTGTCTGTCATGGTCGAGTAGGTATAAACACAAATGCACCGGACGAAGCCCTGGTTGTCTGTGGCAACGTGAAAGTGATGGGAACAGTCATGCACCCCTCTGACAGCCGGGCAAAGCAGAATATCCAGGAGGTGAGCACAGGGGCAGGCACTGGGCCCCCCTCTGACACCTTGGCCAGGTGTGCAGGAGCTCCTGGCCTCTGACACGCCTTGCAACAGGCATTTTACATGTCACCTGTTGGGGTGAGACAAACATACTCTTAGAAATGATGACTGTTTGAGCTGCAGGGCATCTCTGCTGAAATTTCAAAGCAGTTCTCACCAAGGAGAATACATGTACCTGACAGGAGCAGTGGGCAATGATGCATGCCATTGGGCTCACAGCTGCAAGTCTCAGTTATTTTCCACAGGCCACTGTCCTTCCTTCATGGCTTGTCAAATGCCAGAGCTTGCCTTTTCCTTTCCATCTCCCTGCTCATCTTCCCAGCACTGTTTCATTCCAGCTTCTGATCACGTGGCTCCTGGACATCTCCAGCCTCTTCTCAGAGTCCCTGGCATGAGCCCTGTTGGCCATGGTCATCCCCACACACATCATCCTGTGTGGAGTGTTGAGAAGCTCCTCAGCCCTTACTCATCAATCCCATTGCCCGGGGGCTCCTGGTGAAGACCCTCTCCCTTTGTGAAGGGGCCAGTGCCTAGTGGAAATCAGAAAGCAGGCTTAGACATGGGGACCGCTCCTCCCTGTTGGCCTCTCCCCAGCAATGTGACCCTAAATGAAGTGCAGAAGCTCATGGAACTCCGCATCCTCATTTATAAGAAGGAGGTGGTTCCTGCCTGCCTCATACCAGTGTCCTCCTAAATTTTTTAAAACCAGCTGAGGTAGTAAGTACTGAATCTTCTTAGAAAGTTACAACTGCTATGTAGACTGAAATCCCTTAGGCAGGCCAGCTCTCATTGCAGATCTTCCCCATTTAGTTCTTTCCCAGTCACTCTTTTACTGCTTCCTCATGCTCTCTCTCATCCTAGCACCCGAAGCATTTCTGAGTCTGTGGCAGAACTGTGTTTTAAATATCCTTTTCCCTCCTTTCTTTATGCTTTTTCCTCCCCTCTTACAGGAGGCCTAATCTGTTAATCATTGGCCCTTGCACCAGACTGCATTCCTTTCCCAGTACAAATTTGCACTGTTTTTTTTTTTTTTTTTTTTTTTTTTTTTTTTTTTAAACCGGCCAAGGAATGTCCTCCTTTGCTGAGAGGATTGCAAAGAATAGTTGTAATTGTAGACTTTTCTGCTGATTGCAAAGCTATGGTTCTTGTTAGAAGAGCTGTGACCTGCCAGGCAGATGGGAACTCAGGGCCATAAAGTTCTCACATACATTTCCAGATTTAGGTTCTAGATATTGCATGCCTTTGAAATTTTAGAGAGAGATAAACTGTCTGCATTTCAACTCAAATTTACAGTTCCCTACAGAGTCTTACTGAAATGTAAATGGGGGCCCAAGGGAGATATACTAAGGGGGAAGGTTGTCCACAATCCTTCCTGCTACCACTGGACTTAATGCAGAGTTTCATTTACCAGAAGTCTTCAAATATTGCTCCTTGGTTTGAAGAAAATATAGTCTTAAAATAGTAAGTTTCCAGGACCAGCAGTTGGCATAATGGCTATGTCGCTGGACTCCCATGTAGTTGACAGCAATCTGAGTCCCAGACCCAGTGGCTTAAACTCACGCTAGGTGCATGTACGTGCATGCCCAAGATTCTGAGATGAGAATGGAGAAGGGACTGTGGCATGGCCATCCCCCCTGGTGGGGGGGTGGGGGGTGGGGCGATGGCGGTGATTTCTTGCTTTCTGTCTCTCTGTCTCTCTCTGTCTTTCTTGTGAGTTCATATGTGCCCTATAGCAAAACCCTCTCCTTCCAAAAATAAATAAATAAAATAAAATAGTAAGTTACCAAGACTGGCCCTGTTGTGCAGTGGTTAAGCACTGTGCACCGGGGACTGAGTCCCATGTGGCCAACCTTGGTTCAGATCTGGACCCCAGAAATTTGAAAATCATGCTGGGTATGTGTGCACAATGTCTAAAGTCCTGATGAGATAGAGAGATGGAGGAAAAAAGGATTGTGGTGTGGCCCCAACCCTGTTGGGAGGTGTGCTTTTTCCCTTGCCTCTGGTGTGCATGTGTGCTCTCTGGCAATTAAATAAATAAAAAATAGAAACTTCTCTCATACACGAATTTGGGTCAAAATATAAATAATAATAATAATAAGCTTCTCTAGAACTTCTTAAACCCCTTTTAGGACACTGTCTCCATATAGGTGAAATAGCACTCCAATCTAAGCTCTCAGTGTAAAATGCTGTGTTCGCTTCTTGCTCACAGAAGCTTGAAGGAGTAAAGAGAATCCAGGTTCACAGTTAGGCTAGAGGCTTAGTCTCAGCAACCACTAGTTCCGGAGCTTTCACCACAGATGTTCTATGCCTCCGATTTGTTGTCTGAGTAGGAAATGCTCATATTCATTTTATCCACGCAGAAAGTTTTCCAACCTCACCTATGTAAAGCACTTTTTAGCTGTATAAAGCTGAACAAACAGATATTATTAGTTACTTGTATAAAATATAGATTATATGTAATTCATTTATTAAATTATTTCATGTTAATATTAATATTTCTCTTTTTTTTTTTTTTTTTTTTTGCTACAGAGCACATGCATTCGCCAGAAAGACAGAGAGACAGAGAGATAGAAAGCGAGAAATCACCCCCCAGGGGGAATGGCCACACTGCAATCCCTTCTCCTCCTTTCTCCTCTTGGGATCTTGGGCATGCATGCACATGCACCTGGTGTGAGTTTAAGCCACTGTGTCCAGGACTCAAACCACACTCGACTACATGGGAGTTCAGCGACATAGCCATTACGCCAGCTGCTGGTCCCAATATTAATATTTCTTAATCAGCCTATCCACATTTACAAAATATATATACCTAGAAATTTTCTGTTTCATCCACATTTGTTACAGAGAAAAGGGATGGTGCTGACATGTGTGTGAGCCTCATCTTCACTGCTCCCTGACTTCCACTTTTTCTAACTTTAAAAACGTGCCATTCTTCCACATGCTCTGAAAAGCTCACCCTTGATTGGCTTGTTTACACACAGAGGCAATTTCTCATTCTTTAAGCATGCATACTAACCAGAATTGGCTTCTGAGTGAGCTCTAGCAAGTGCAGTGGCCAAGCATGTTGCCCAACCATGTTACCTTGCTCTGACGGTGTGTCTCCTTTCTCAAGGCAACGTAGATTGTTCTGTACACATTTAACACAAAAGTATCTGCGTAGAGTTCTAGTGGAGAAAGTCTCTAGTGCTCATCTTTGACACACATCCAAGACACACAGAAAATAATGCAGATATGATCAAAACTTACGAAATGGAAGCACTCGGCTGCTGAGGTTGGCCCCATGGAAGTACAGATTAACTTGTCTATATAGTAGCATATGTCTCTCAATGTGACCACAAACTGGAGAAGGGACTGCAGCTCTGTCAGTGGGAACAGAGCCAAATTTGTGTGGAAAAGACATGCTGAAAAATCAAAGACATGGGAAGCATTTTAATGTCATGGGGCCAGCAATTGGCATAGCAATTGCATCACTGGACTCCCACATGCTGACTGCTGTTCGATTCCCAGACCTGGTGGCTTCAAAAGCGTGCTGGGTGTGTTTGCATGCATGCCCAAGATCCCAGGAAGAGAATGGAGGAGAAGGAATCGGGGTGTGGCCATCTTCCCTGGGATTTTTTTTCTCATTTTCCCTCTTACTATCTCTTTCTCTCTCTCCTCAAGCACAAGCTCCTTAAAGTAAAAACCTCTACCGAAAAAAAAAAAGGAATGTCAACGATGTCATGCAAAAGACAAAATGAACAAACCAACAAACAAAACCCACAAAAATAGTGAGGAGGTTGAGGGTCGAAGCATCAGTCATAAAATTCTGTGGTGAAGGCAGCAAGAGACTTAAAATTAAAATCAGAAAAAGAAACCAGTTAAAATAAAATGCTCAGAGGCTGTTTTGTTTTTCTCCCAACCACAACAGCCATGTACTAGTTGAAGACAAAAGTAGACGTGAGAAAAGCTCCAGAAAGTCAGACATGCAGTCTTCCCAGGGCCATGAGCCAAATGCAGAAGTTCCTGAGCTGGGGTGAGCAGCTGCCATTCAAGCTGCCTCTGATGCCAAACTGGGGCTGGGCTGTGGGTTACAGCCAGATGACAGACAGTGAAATCGCCTTTCCTGAGCAAACCAGAGTCCCAGGGGCTGAAAGATCTTTGTGGTGCAATTCTTGAGTTAATGATATATTAGAAACATTGATGGTGACAACCACTTATATTCATGGCCAGAATCTTTCAAAACTGCTGTGGGCAAGATCAAAGCAGACACCCAAATTCAGTTTCTAGCTTCTTACTCAACACACATTGATGAGCAAGGAGCAGCATTAAATGCTGGCTCATGTACAGTTCCTGGGGAGGATTCAAAGAAGATACAACTTCTGCCGAAGGACTTTCCCTAGGCCAAATGTATGTACAGAGAACATGCAATACAGGTAACTTTATATTTAGTTTTTGGAAGTCTACAAGTCAGCATTAGAAATCAGAAACATATTTTTGTTTTCTTTTTCTTTCAGCGATAGGGTGTATGCACTTGCCAGAGAGACAGAGAGAGACAGAGAGACAGAAAACAAGAAATCACCCCCTGGGGGGATGGTCACACCACAATCCCTTCTCCTCCATTCTCTTTTTGGGATTTTGGGCGCACATGTACAGGCTCCTGGTGTGAGTATTTTAAGCCGCTGGGTCCGAGACTCGAACTGTGGCCAACTACTTGAGAGTCCAACAATGTAAACAAGCCATCTGCTGGTCCCCAGAAACACATTTTCTAAGATGAAGTTTGTTATGTAAGTCTCCAAGTTAGCCTTCAAAATTTTCTTTGGCCAAAAATTTGCTCAGTGTACAATGGTAATAGTATTAGAGAACCTAATCGCTATGTTTAGCAATAGGTCTTTCGGAAAAATGTATTCAACATTAGAAGCTAGGGACCACCTTCCTTCTCTGTGGTCTGGACAGCTTGAGCAAGAGCATCTCCTCCTCCATTTTCCCTCGTAGTACTGCTTCAACCTTGTTCTCCATGGGGGTCACACAGGCTGGCAGGAACCAAAGACTTGAGAAGTGGGCATATAATTGCGAAGGGCTCCAGGGGAGAAGAATTGGGTTGGACCAGGATAGTACAAGGTCAGTCCAGGCTGGCTCTTGATTGATCCGCTTTCTTTAGGTCTGTTAGTGTCAGGGATTGTCTTGCCATTTTACTACCTTCATTCTTTTACTCCTTCTTTTCTCCATTGAAGATTGTGGGTGCCTAATACATGTCATATACTTTGTTGGGCATTTTACAAATCCTGAGATGAATAAGACATAGGCCTCACCCTTAGGAGAGAACTTTTGTTAAAATTTAAGCTCCAAATAAGAAACAAGATTGACTCTCTAGTGCCTAGGATAGTATATACCATATAATAGTCACTCAATAAATATTTTTGTATGAGCAAAGGAGTTCACAGAGATATCAGATACATACATTGGGTAATATGGGACAGGGACAATACTTTCCTAGTGTGGTCTGCAAGGCCCACCCTGGCCTTAACCTTTCCAGTATAGTAATGCTGAACTCTGCCTTGGTTGTGCAGGCATCATTCAGGGGATTTGCTGCCTTGGGACTTAGTTCATGGTGTACTATCTGCCTAACATTCTTAGTTTAGTATCACTTTTTCATCCCTACATCTTTTCCTAACTTTTATCTTAAAGTTATTGATGTATTTTACAAATATTAGTCTAGCACCTATAATATGCAAAGAGTTGTTATAGGGTGATGAACAAAAACCCATAGCCTGAAATATGTTCTCACCCTTATGGAATGTATATCCTATAGGGGAGAAGGGAAGATAGAGCTGACACTGTTCGTTTGTCTGGTGGTAATTGTGATTGGTGCTATGAAGAACAGATGCTATGAACATGCAAAACAGAGAGACCCTCCCTAGTCTTGAGGATCAAGAAACTCTCCTCTGGGGGGGGGAAATTAACTCTCCTCTGGGGGAAAAAAAAAAGAAACTCTCCTCTGAGGAATAGATATTTAAATTGAGGAGAAAGAAGGCAAACATTTTGAGTAGGAAAAACAGCATGAACAAAGGTTATGAAGTGAAAGAAGAGACTATGTTTGAGGAACTAAAATAAGCTTGGATCTTGGTCGGGCTTCACCATCTGTAAAAAGTCTATATTCCTCTATGACTATTTTAGGTACCCCCTCCATGAGTCTCCGTTCATACTTTCACCATTGCCTTGCATTTCTCACATTGTATTATAATCATATGTGATGTGTCTGCCTTACTGTCTAGACCACAAACTTTCAAAAGGCAATTATTTTTTAAGTTCCAACACACTTAGTAGTGCATGACATGTTGAAGGTGTCTGGTAAATTTTAGTCCAATAAAACAAAGAATGAATGAATTGAACTAAACCTTTAATAACAGCAGTTATCAAAACAACAGTAAGCTCAACATTCTTCTCCCAGAAAAGTACCTGAAGTAAAGCTAGTCCATTTAGCCAAGTAAGTGCCCAGCCCCCATCTTTCACAACTATCTAAGCTAACTAGGGACGGACAGCCTTGAATGACTTCACAGGAAATTTATTGGCACCTAATAGAATGGGTCAAAGGAGTTCAGGCTCATGATAGGTGTTTTCTTAAAACCAGAAGCGTTTTGGGTTCCTCTAACACATGAATAAATACTCTGGCCACATTTTATTTTTAAAAGAAAGAAGAGAGAGATAAAGTTTTGACAGCTTATCATGCTATCACAATCATCCTGCCCCAGCCGCCCTGGTTGGTAAAACTACAAGTGCATGCCTTTTTATAATAGGCCGGCTGGAACTGAACCCAGGCCTCCCATGCAGCCTCAGCCATTGTGCAGTGGTGCCTTCATGCTTGTACAATTGTGGCTGGGTCCCCAGGTATTATATTTTTATTGCCAAAAACACTACTAGTTTTAAAGTCCAGTTATGTTTTTTTTAATTAATAAAATTTTTATTTTGTTTGCTATAGGGTATGTGCATTCACCAGAGGTAAAGAGAGAAAATTAGAAAGCACCTCCTTACCCCCAGGGGGCATGGTCATAATGCAATCACTTCTCTTGGGATTTTGGGCATGCACCCACATGTGCCTGGTGTGTTTTTACAAGTTACTGAGTCTAGGACTTTAACTGCACCATAAACCCTGTGGAATTCAGTCACCTCAACCACTGTGCAATGGACTGGCCAAGGCTTTCAAAGAAAATTTGGAAGACCCATAAAAGGCTGCCAAATTTTACTTGTCATTTAAGATTATTTTTTTTAAAAATACCTCTTTTGCCATTCATTTATTTAAAAAAAACAAAACAAATGAAAAACACCAAACTCAAATGAAAGAGGAGTCCTTTTGAATCAAATACATTTAACTTTGGGGAAAATTCACTAGACTGTCTTGTTAACATTTTGTTGGGACCCTGTGACTTTTTTTGAGGACTTAGCAGTGACAATTGGCTATGCCTTTGAGAACATTCCCAATTGTCACTGCAGAGCAGTGATCTTGGAGGAGAATGCAGCTAGGGTGACCAGGGTGGTTTTGGGGAAGGGAACTTTCTGGAGAAGGAGGAGGTCTGGGTTGTGAAGGATCAGCAGTTGGGTAATTGTACTTTGCAATCTACTTGAAGTAATTTTCTCCAGCAAAATGTTCAATAGCAATTCAATGATACAGAATCTATCCGTTCCTCACAGGCTGGTACTTGAATTAAGCATTGCATTCCCAGTTTGTAAATAGAAGTTTTGCTTGTGAATATGTGGGCTCATTTGAAAATGATCTCTTGCAATTCTGAGTAACAATTCTTTCTTTCCAAAGTGAGCAACTTTCTTTTTCAGAAGGAAGACTTGCCTTTCAAAGCAAAGAAGTAAGGCAAGAGCAGTGAATGATGGAGACCGCTCTGTAATTTAGACTTGAGGACTCCAGACAGTTTAGTAGTCAGCTGATAAAAGTCACTGATGTAGACCTCAAAACTTTGTCTTCTATGAGGGAAAAACAGAAATTGTTCTCAAAATAGTTTGGACAAAATAAAAGCACAATCCCGTTGCCAATATTTCTAATCTTTGTGGGTTACTCTGGGTATTGACTTGGCTAGCAAATATCTAAGTGGGTGAAATCTGGTCTTCTTTAATTAAATTAGGTAGACACAAATGAACAGCTGAGAAGAATAGCCCAAATGAGGATTGTTGAATATGACTACAAACCTGAATTTGCATCTGCAATGGGAATAAACACTGCCCATCAAACAGGTACCAATTCCCTTTTTAATTTTGTATCGTCAGCTATTAAAATTTTAATGTCCATTTTGAAGTTGTGTGCCATGCCATTTGACACACCTATTGGTCTAATATATCCTTTGCGAAACTCACAGTGACTAGAAGAAAGCTTAAGGAATTTCTGTGTCATCCTTATTCAACACCCCCGCTCCTGCTCCCCAAGGAGCTGGTGAAGTATTTTGAATGTACTGTTTCTTTTCACCAGATTCTTGTGGGATAAGGGTTCAGGGCCAGATGGCTGCTCAACCTGTTTGAGGAGTGGTAATGGACAGTCCCAGGATGTAGAGAGAAAGTGTAGGGATAGGTGGGCCTATGTAAGAGAACGGATAAGCCAAGTGATGTTTATAAGCCAATCCAGGAATCCTAAAGGAAGAAAGAACATTTGGGATAAGAGCCTCCAACAGGAAAAGAAATGAAATCAAGGTAATGCCCCACACTAATTCCTATGGGATTTTAAGGTATTTAGTCATCTTTTACAACATTTGACTCAGGGTCTCAAAAGAGAAAGAAAGAAAAGAAAGAAAAAGAAAAAAGGAAGGAAGGAAAAAACTGAAGAGAGAAAAAGTGGAGAAAATGACACTCCCACTTTTAATCCTAAAACGGCTCTTGGCTCAGAATTTCTCTTTTGCCTCGAATGTATTTTAAATCAAAGCAAGAGCTTAGAAGGGATAAGCAACTATTGCTAAATGTGGGTGTCAGTGTTCTATCCTGATGTAAGCCTGCGAGGATTTTCTCCAGCAAGGTTTTCTCTGATTAAACATGTTGGAATGTTCTGTATGTAGGAATGATTGCCCAGGAGGTGCAAGAGATCCTGCCTAGAGCTGTAAGAGAGGTTGGTGATGTCACCTGCGAAAATGGAGAAAAGTTGGAGAACTTCCTCATGGTCGATAAGGTAATTGTTGGCCAGATGTCTGCCACTAAATCTGGAGAAACCCCCTTTTACGGTTGCTCAGTGGGCTGAAGTATGTAACCAGAAATGGGACATTAGAAAGAATTGTTCATGGAGCTGTGGAGTGAGCTGGTATCAATTATCCCACACTGATCACAGGCACCAAAACGAAGTCCCGTAAAGGAAAAAGAAAATGGAATGTACTAAGAGTTAGAATTCAGCAGTTCTTATTGTTAGAGGAAAACTGGCACTAGGAAAGTCCACTTAGCATAAATGCACTTAAAACAGGCCCACACATCATAAAAACTACTGACAACGGTTTTGATTAGGCTTCATTTAAAAAAGTGGAACTGAAACATATGAAAACATATTTTTCTATAATACAACATGTGCTTCTCCTTAGAATGAGTGAATAAAATGTTGACGTTTTATTTTTTCCTTTTGAGCACAGTTTTTTCTTTTTCTTTTTTATTAAAGAGATAGAAGGAAAGGAAGAGAAACAGGTAGGTATTTATGAGGACCCATGCCTCTGTGCCGCTGCCTCAGCCTCTCAACTATCTAGGATAACAGCTACCTACTACCATACCCAGCATGTTCAGGTTGGCCTGGGAACTGAACCTGGGCATCCTGTATAGCCTCTAGTCATCCAAGTGGGGATACCTACCTACGCTCCACTGTGGCAGTGCCTGAGCATAGCTTTTGGACCAAGTCTATAACTTTCACAGTATAATCATAAAGTGGGTCATTTTTACAAAAATATTCATGGGCCAGATCATTTTTTCCCAAGGGCTTGTCTTAATTCTTTGATATTTAAATCATTCTCTTTTGAAGGAATGTTATCATGCCTGCAGATTAGCTCCCCTTCACTTGGTAACAGGCCTAAGTCTCCTAGCTCCTCACTTGTCAAAGCTGTGCGTGTGATTTGAGTAGTTCCCTAATGCCGTGTCCATCAGTTCTGTGAAATCCTGAATCTTTTGCAAGGTTTGCAAATTCACTCTGCTGCTGATTTGCTTTACATTGCATTATTATATTTGATGCTGGAAGGAAAGACCGATTCACACAGGGATTTTGGATTAGTAGGGAGAAATGTTTGAGTGCTGGCTAATTTGTCACTTGTCAGTTCATGGGGGCAATGGTTCTCCAACTTCAAAGTGCACATGCAGCACCAGGATCTTATTAAAATGCACATTCCGATCCAGCAAGAATGGGGTGAGACTGTAGACCTTGCAGTTCTAACCAGCTTCCAGGAGATACCTCTTGTCTTCCTGCTGGCCACGAGTCGTTTGTGGAGTAGGAAAGCAGAGCGTGTCTTTTCCTTTCAGGTCCCTAGACTATCTTCTATCTACACGTCTTTGGATAAAACTTACAGAATGGAGTTTGGGAGGCCTATTCAGCCCTGGCTGCAAAAGCCAAGTGGCAGAGACTGATTTATTACACTACCACCTGCTTTCCACTAACATATCTTCAACAGAAACTCTTTAGTCTCATTCGCAGACCGAGACCATCACTTCACTAGAGAAGTGTACCATGAGACATTTATTTACTTTTTTCTCAATATTTTATCCTTGTAAGACACACAAAATAAAATTTATCAGCTCAGTGGTATTAAACTCGTTCATAATGTATCATCATCACCACTATCCATCCCCAGAGCTCTTTTCATTTGGTAAAACTGAAACTCTGTACCCAGTAAACATAACGCCCCATTCCTCTCCTGTCCCCAGTCTCTGGCAAGTGTGATCCTACTTTCTGTCTCTTTGATTTTGATCACTCTGAGTACCTCATACAGTGAAATCAAAAAAGTGTTTGTCTCTTTTGTGACCAGCTTAGAATAATGTCCTTAAAGATTCTGCATGTTGCAGCATATGACAGGATTTTCTTCCTTTTTAAATCCGAATAATGTCCCATTGTATTATGCACCACATTTTGCTTATCCCGTCATCCATTAATGGACACGGGGCTGCTTCTATGTTTTCCCTATTGTGAATAAGGCTGCTGGGGTGTACAAATGTCTCTCTAAGATTCTGTTTTCAGTTATTGGGGAGATACTCATGCATGGAATTGCTGGATCATATGGCAGTTCTATTTTTTATTTTGTAAGGAACCTCCATACTGTTTTTCTCTGTGATTGTATCATTTTACACTGTGCCAGGAACTGTTTATTTGAATCATGCAATGATAAGTAACACTTGGTTCCTGTCTTCAAGTAGCTTGTTTTTTAAGAGGGGGTGATCATCGAGGTGTATAAGTAATGAAGCTCTAAGTCACAATTTGGGAAGTACTGTGACACGCATATATAAAGCTCGAAGTCAGTTCAGAGAACCATGTGGAGACTAGCAGGGGCTCACAGAGGAAGACTTGAGAGACACATGCAAGAAGACATTGGTGGGTCTTGGGGACAACAGGTATTGCCAAGGGAGGGCAGACGGCATCTCAAACTTTCCTTTCAACCACAATATCCAGTTAGATACCAAATCCTGTAATTCTTACTTTGGCAATATCGGCTCCTTTCTTTATTCTCTTTATTTTATTTTATTTTTCTTCCAAAGCTGTTATAATAATTTCTTAATTGACCTGCTAGCCATCAATAGCTATCATTGTTATTTTCTTAAAAATAAAAATAAAATGAATCTCTGGTCTCCCTTTTCTACTTTTGGCGCTTTTCGTGACTACAGACAGGTACAGGTTAGGTATCCCTTATTTGAAATGTTTGAGACCAGAAATGTTTTAGATTTAGGGTTTTTTTTGGTTTTTTTTTTGAGATTTTGGACACTTTGCACATACCTAATGAGATACCTTGGGAAATGGGGCCATGTCTAAAACATGAAATTCATTACAAATAGCCTGAATAAAGAAAAAACAATTTTATACAATAGTTTAAATAATCTTGTACATAAAACAATGTTTGGGTCCATTGCACCATCAGAAAGCAGAGTCACTATCTCAGCCAACCATGTGGATAGTCTGTGGTCTCACGTTGCCATCATTTCTGATGGAATTTGTATGCTGCTGATGAACTTTTTATTTTTTTTACACTATTTATACATAAGGTCAGGTGTGGAATTTCCCCACTTGTGGCATCATGCTAGCGCTGGACTTTAGATTTTGGAGCATTTCAGATTTGGGATTCTCAGATTAGGGATGCTTAGCCTATATAATCCTTCACAGTCTGAGTTGAATCTTCATTTCTACTTCATTTCCTAGCACTCACACCAACCCCTCAATCCCTTTACACTTTTAGTGCAGCCAGACTGAACAATGACTTTCTTACCTTTTTCTCCAGTAAACTGGCCCTTCCAGAGTATAGTGAGTCTACACTTGCTGTATCCGTGGCTTGGAACCATTTATTTGCCACCTCTCCACACTCAGCAGCACTGGGAACTCCAGTTTGTCCTTCGGAAAGCCCAGGGTTTCTCTGCGCTGCTCACCTTCCCTCCTCTCCAAGTGTCCCCTTACCCAGGCACCACGTGTTTGCAAGTCACTCCCCTTGCCCTGTCCCATCTAACCCCCAATCCCGACACCCACAAACCAGCTTTTTCTCTTCCTCAAACCCTCCTCAGAGGTGTTCTGTCCAGTGTTCTCTGTCCTAAAGACCTTCCCTTCAGATGATCTCATAATTTGGAGGCCTTCCCTGACACCTCATCTAAAACAGTCTCTCAGTTTCTTTTCTTTCTCTCTCTCTCTCTCTCTTTTTTTTCTTCTTTTTACAAGATTCAGGGCCCCTGAAGTATATAGTGCCTTTGCACTAATTAGAAAAAGGTGCCCCATCTGGCTGATGCAAACTCCATCCACCCCCTCAGCTGGGCCTCTGTGTTGTGAACACACTGCAAACTTATTCATAGCAGCCTGGAGAGTATTTGTCTCTGAAAGTACCTTGTTTATTTGCCTACTTGCTCTTTGCTAATCTCCCTAATTAGTTGCATGAGAGCAGAAATCTTCTATATTTTTCAAAACTATTTCTCCAGCACTTCACTGTAGCTTTTACCCTAGGGCTTAGAGTACTGTAGGGATTCAACAAATGTTGGTAGAAAGAATTAGTGAATTCTGGGATGCCTTGGTTGACCCTGTCTCTACAGATCTCTGAATGTACATCTTGGAGAGTATTTATCACATTGTATCGTCACTCCCGTTCCATTATCAGTCTCCTTCACTAGCTGTGAGATTCTCTTCACTGCCTCTTCAGTCTGCTGGTGATTAATACACTGTGGATGCTCTGATAAGTATTTGTTTAAATTAATGCCTGAGTTTTTGAATCTCAATAAAAGGAAGAGAAGTGGTTTTATTAACATAAAAAGGTCTTAAGGAGAAGTAATTTTCTGGGGAAAAGATTAATTGAATTTTGACTTTGAGATGTCCAATGAACATTCAGATGAAAATGCCCCAAAAGTGACTTGAAAGAGCAATTTTAGTAGAGAGGAAGCTGTAGCCATGGATGAAGATTTTCATTAAAAAGCAAAGAATTATGGCTATGGGTCAAAAACTGGCAGACGTTATTTTTCCATTAGGGAGTTTAATTTTTTTTTTTAAGATTTATTACTTTCATTTTAAAGTTAGGAGAACTGGGACCAGGAGGTGGCGTGGTGGTTAAGGAACTGAATTCTCACATGGCCGACTGTGATTAGCATCCAGGACTTGGTGGCTTGCTTTCTCACTTTCTCTCACTCTCTCTCAGTGCCTGTATCAAATTAAAAGATGTTAATGATAATAAATAAAATTAAATAAATAAATATTTCAGAAATTAGGAGATCCTCACACAAATTTTGGATTTTTGTCTCCCTTGAAATATCAGCAAGTCTGGGAACAAGGTGCTGGAGAGTGGCTCCCGGGTAAGGGTGGCAGGTACCCTCTTGTCACTGCCTGCTTTCCCCATAGGGTTTCAATTTCAGGTAGGATGAGAAGGAAAGAGGACCAAACATCACACCTTGATGAATACATCCAGTTAGGGTCTGTGGAGGAAAAGAGCCTGTGAAGTCAGGGGATTGGCCAAACATGGGGCAAGCACA